GGGCATGCAGCTGTGCGTGGACGCCTCGCGGCCGCTCTGGATGCTCTTTGGCCTGCACGGCGCCGTCTCGCAGGTCCGCATCCTCGGTGAGTGCCCGCCCGTCGCGCTGGGACCACTGTGATGTCCCGACCCGCAGATACAGACAGCCCAGGTTCCCAACAGGTGCGTGCCTGGAACCCCAGCACTCTGGGAGGCAGAGGCGAGCATTGCAAGGTCCAGCCCAGCCTGGGTGGTTTATCGGTTTAGCCAGACCCTGCCTTAAAAAAGGAAAGGAACGCAAAAACAAAACAAAAGGTCTGAAGCTGTAGCTTAGCGGCAAGAACCTGGGTTCGAGCTCCAGTGCTGCCGACAAGGTGGCGGGGAGGGTTTTCCACGAGTAACAAACTTTTGATGCTCAATTTCCATTTCTCTGCTTATGAGAATAAAGGAATCTGGAGGTAAGTGTGGTCATAGAGCTAAAAAGACGAGTTGTGTCAGGAGGCAGGTGGTGTGTGTGTGTGTGTGTGTGTGTGTGTGTGTGTTTGTGTTTGTGTTTGTGTTTCCTGAGGCGCCACTTGGAAGAAAAGGGCCCACAGAGCTCCTTTTAGTAGGTGCGGGAAGCAGACTGGGAGAAGCGGTTTCTGTCTCCAGCTTCTCTCTTCGGCCTCTGCAGAGGGGCCTTGTGGGTTTGAAGTTTGGGAAACACTGGGTGAAGAAGGATAGTGGGAGGATTCCTTATTGTGGGGCTTCTCAGAGCCTTTCATAGCCGTGTGAATCTTTTAGGGTGGTGGTGGTTGCAGGGCACAGGTTTTCTAAACGAGTTTAATCAGGAATCTTCTTTCACAGGGCGGATCTGGGGCCCTCCGTCCACAGAGGTGGGCTTTGCCAGCGTGGGCCTTGGACAGCTGTTGGGCCGGGCTGGCTCATGAGCCTTATGTGGAGACCCTTGTGAGGCTCAAGCCCTTGTATCCTCCTCCTGAGGCCCCAGTTCTGTGGGCTCTGGACAGTCCTGGGCGTCTCAGCTTTTCCTTTTCTTTGTCTGGTTCTAGATCATGCTAGGCAAGTGCTCTACTACGGAGCTGCAACCCCAAATCATTTGGACAGGGTCGTTATGCAGTTCAAGCTGGTCTTGAACTCGCTGTGTGACGCAGGCTGGCCTCGTACTTGCAGGGATCCTCCTGCCTCAGCTTCCCAAACGCTGGGATTACAAGCATGAACCACCATGCCCAGCTCTTTTTTATTTTTTTAAAGCAAGCATGCTTAGCCAAGTTTGGAGGAGCCTTGGGCCGCGGTGTCCCTTTAGCCCAAGGAGTGTGGTTGCTGCAATGATGCCTGTGGGTGTGTGAGCCCGCACAGCTCTGTGAGGCTGGCACATGGGTGGAGTCACGCTTGAGTAAGTGGTATGTGTGTGCCACGACGCCAGGGATTGTGTGTGGAGTGCTTGTGTAACCAGATAGAGTCAATGGGGGACTCCCAGCGCTGGGAGGAGACCGGGAGAGGATGCAGTGGAGTTAAAAAGGGGATAAGAAGTGAGTGAGGTGCTGGGAAGTTAGAAGAACTAAAGGAAGCTAAATCGGGAAGGATGAGGTCCAGCAAGGAAGAAGAGGAAGCAGGCCGGGGGAGAACTGGGAGGAAGTAGAAAGAAATCGTTGGGGGCAGCAAGCGAGGCAGTGGAATCACGTATGAGGCAGAGGGAGGCAGGTAAGGACGAGGTGCTCTCTCCTGGGTTTAGGAGACTGAAGCAAAGGGGAATTTTTTAAAGAGCAGGACTCTTTGGGGCCAGGGTTGTAGCTCATTGGTTCCACCGCCTGCCTCACAAGTGCAAGGTCCTGAGTTCAAGCCCTGGTAAAAAAAAAAAAAAAAAAAAAATCAGGATTCTGCTGTCCCTGGAGGCATTGGGCCAGGATGGTCTTTGAAGAGTGAGCACCCAGAATCCAGTACTGCCGATGGGGTGCTCAGAGCTATTGGGAGGATTGGGCATCTCGCCAGCACATGATGCCAGGAAGGCTGATTCCTGAGGAGACAGTGGGGGCAGGGTGTGCAGGGCCCTGGGTTACCTTGCAGAGGGAAGCCTGGCTTTGCGGAGGGCCTGGGCGAGCAACAGTGGAAAGATCCTCCCTTCACTTACTTGTACTACAAAGCCTGCAGCCAAGCACACACTTATTGGTGAAACATTAGAAATAGTCTCAATAAAGACAAATGTAATAGGGATTCTTCATGTAGCTGGAGGTGTTCTAAAGTTGCTGGTCAGTGCAATAAGGCAAGAAAAGTAAAGGAAGTACTTCTGAAAGAAGATAGTTGACTAAAAAATATTAACACAGTAAGAGAAACCCTAAAAAGTGCCTAGATAGAAATGATACTGCTGTGATGTGAGTTAGAAGTGATAGTAGTGAGGTTTCCTGGCACAATGGCTCCTGTCAGGGCTGGGGAAGCTGCAGATGGGCCGGGTCTCTTGGTCTCGTTAAGGTCCAGGTCTAATTGGTGACAGCTGGACACCTCGGCTCCCTCCAAGGCCTAGCAGCCCTGGCTTCTTGGTGGTTCAGTCCTGCATTCAGTGAGGGTGTGGCTGGTTGGTGCCGGCACCTGCAGGCCCTGGGTGAGGGCAGGGTGGGTGTGTCTGAGAGCAGAGGGGATGCTGCCCGTGGGTTAGGGGGAGAGTGCAGGAGTCAGGCTGGGGCCCCTGGCCGTGGCTGGCACTGGTGGCGAGCACCCTTCTCCCGTGCAGGCTCCACCATCCTGGCTGAGCGGGGCATCCCGTCACTGCCCTGCTCCCCGGCCTCCACGCCGACCTCACCCAGCGCCCTGGGCAGCCACCTCTCCGACCTGCTGCTCAGCCCGAGCAGCCCTGGGCCTCTGGGGAGCCCTGCTGGTGGTAAGTGCCGAGTGCGCCCATGCTGGCCGTGGCTGGCCCTTTTTCTCCCTCGGGGCAGCTTCCAGAGGACTCGCTTTTCTCCCATCACAGGGAAGGCAGTGGGTAGTTCAGGAGGGGGCTGCCTTAAAAGATGGGGGCCCCCTCTTCCCATCCCTCTGGCCCTTTTCTTCGCTGCCTCACAGCTGCCTGTCCCTGGTCTGGTCTGGGCATCAGGGTGGCGGCTGAGCTCCACCTCTTCCCATGCGTGGAGGGGCAGGGCCATCTCTCCTGATGGTGGCCCTTACCTCCAGGGACAGCCCCCAACTCGCCGGTGAGCCTGCCGGAGTCTCCCGTGACCCCAGGCGTGGGCCAGTGGAGCGCCGAGTGCACCATCTGCTACGAACACGCAGTGGACACCGTCATCTACACATGCGGTCACATGTGCCTGTGCTATGCCTGCGGCCTGCGTCTCAAGAAGGCCCTGCATGCCTGCTGCCCCATCTGCCGCCGCCCCATCAAGGACATCATTAAGACCTATCGCAGCTCCTAGCCTGCTGCGGTGCCCTACTCTGCACGCCCAACTCTGCAGACTTTGGCCCAGTTCTAGCTGAGGGCAAGCCAGCAGGGCCTCTTCTCACCTTGGAAACTCTTTCCTTTTCCACTAAACCTGGGAAGCTGAGGCCTCTGAAGGCTGGAGCAGAGAAGGGGTCAGGGGCAGGAGCACCTCTCTCCTGAGGGGAGGCGCCAGCTGCCTTCTCCCCAGCTGCTCCCTGTGTGCCAGCTTAGTCTTACGTTGGGCTCTCACCTGTCCTGATCCTTCCTCCCCAGGGCGGATTTCTAGGAGGTCCCTGTAGTCTGTGTGGCACTGAGGTGAGAACTAGAAAATGTGCACCTTCCTATGGGCAGAGCCCCAGGCTGGGCACTGGCTCTCAGCGGGGAGGGCTTGGGTTTTAGCCTCGCGGGCCCCCAGCCAGCAGTGCTTGAGCAGCGTGCAGTCTCTGTGAGAGCCCTGGGTGGGCAGCTCTCCAGTTGCCAGCTTCCCCGATGCATCTCCACCCTCTGGGCCTGGCCATGGTGGGTAAGACGGTGGCAGTGGGGTCTTGCGGTGTGGGTGGTCCTGGGCAGCCTGCGCCTGGCCTCGCCCTCTGCCCTCTGCCCTGATCATTTCACTCGGTGCTGCTGCTCAGGCTGGGTGTGGCTGGGGGCGCTGTGGTGTGGGGCCTCTGAGAGCAGGACTGTGGCTCCCCACAGGCCTGTGACCCCTCAGAGTCGACATGCCACTGAGAGGGGCGGGGCTGGTCCTCTGGGCTACAACCAGCCCTCTTCCTTATTTTAATTTATTTATTTATTTGGCTTGTGGGCTTTTTGTGTGAGTTCCTGTTCCTCAGAGTGCTGGTGAGGGTGGCAGTAGAGGGGGCTGCCACCCCAGATCGCCCCGCCCACTGGGCTGGTGCTCCAGCCCGAGGGGCAGGGCGCTGTGTCCTGGCTCCCATCATGCTGTGCGGCAGTCACCTCAGCGCCCTCCCTTGGCAAGCAGGATATGGAGTTGTAGTCCCAGCTGCTCACCTGGCTGGGTAGTGGTCCTAAACCCCAGGTCCTCCTGTGCAACGTGGCTGTTCGGGGATGGGGCAGGCTCTTGGGGTGGCTCTGGGGTTCTTCAGTGGGGCTGCCGAGGGGTGCGATGTGGGGGAGACTTTGGGCTAGGCCTCAGTGTGCCAGCCTCACGAGGCTGGGGAGGACATCATGCCACTCCGGTGAGTGACCTAGAGCAAGGACGGGGGTCCTGGGGGAAAGAGGTTGACAGTGCAGGGGCTGCCTGGCCTGAGGCCGGGAGAAGCAGCCCTCACCCATTTTGTTAGTGCTGGGTTGTTGATGCCTCATTGTGAACTCGGTGGCCGTGATGTGAATAAAGGTGATTTCGTACCAGCCTGAAGGCTGGGTGTTACATGTGGAGGCCGGTCAGGCGGTTATCTGTGGGTTGGGTCCTGGAGTTGGGGGTCGAGCGTGACCTGCCTTTGGACTGCAGGCCAGGGATGCCAGGGGGAGCCTGTGGATTTGGAGGGAGGAGCCACTGCTTTTCCAGTGGCCTCAGGCCCCCAGGTCTGTGGGAGGCTCAGGGTGAGTTGGCCCCACCCGGCCATGGAGCCTTTGGAGGGGGACAGCGCCACCTGGTGGGCTAACAGGCCCTCCACCCAGGTGCTCCAGCCTGTCCACGGCTGGTGCTGCGGAAGCCTGTAGGCCAGGACTGTCACTTGTCGGTGCCTGCTGCTGATGGCCCACTTCCTGTGGGTTAAGATGTGTCTGGGCGGTCCCCGAGGCAGGGACAGTTAAAGGGACTTTCCTGATGCGCTAGTGCACCTGGCTGGTGGGGAAAGTCGGGGTGACGGGGAGACAGCCAGCCTGGCCCCAAGGTCTGGGCAGTGTTGGAACTGTGCATGGGCGGGGCCGGGCTGCAGGGCACCTGGGATGCCTGCCGACCCACCCTCTCTCCTGGGAGGGTGATCTGGCTGCCCAGCCTCAGCCTGGCCTTAAGCCTTCCACTGTGCCTCGCCGCCCTGCTTTCTGGAGTCAGCACAAGGAGGCTGGGCTCTTTAGCCTGATTCTCCCCAACAGCAGTGGGGTCATAACTCCCCTCCCATGGCCTTGTAGTCTGTGTTGCATTTGGGGTCATGAACTCCCAGTTGAGTGGGTTTTCTGGTGTCCAGGAGAATTAGGTGATTCTGTTCAGTTAAAAAGGCCAAAAACTTTATTTAGTTTTCAGGGAAATACAAGATGCATGTAAACATAAACCAAATACAAGACAGAACAACCCAAACCTCACAGTCGAGAAGCATGCCAAGACAGCATTTCTGTGGTCCCGTCAGAGTGATAAAGGACACCTGGAAAGTGGCAGGCCAAGGGGCTGATCCCTTCCCCAGGACACTGTGTGTTTGTGATGAGATTTAAAAGCCCACCCTTGACAATACCAGGACATGGATAGTTTGGCACCGCCGTGGATCCAGGGAACACTGCAGCACTCACGTGGACTGCACCACACGCCAAGTCCACTTCTCCAGTTTCTCTACAGAGGAGAGAGGAAAACCTGGGCCCACGGAGTCTGCTACGAGGTGGTATGGCTGTGGGTGCCACGAGGGATCCCCTACGGTTCCGGAACCTTGGCGACACCCACCAGTGCACATCCACCCACGCAGCATGGACACGTCCTGCTCACGTGTCACCTCCCTTCAGACCTCTCCGTAACCAGAAGGGACACCCATGCCCCATCCCGATTCCTGGACTTAAAGCCTGTTGCAGAGAACAAGTTGAAAATCAAAGAACGGTAGCCATTTACCCTTCTTCGAGAGTAGCAGTGTGCTTTGGCTAGAAGCCACTAAAAAAAGGGAAGGGCATATTGGTGGGCATTCCCTTCACCTGTCCAGCTCATTCCATGACAAAGAGAACCACTGCAGGTATGAAGGAGCCGTGGGAACACCTGGCACAGACAGAAGGGGGGTGAGGTTTGGTTCCTCACTGCACCGTCATCAGTCACTAAGGTAGACACACAGCCCAGGCAGCTCTGGACAGGACACAGGTAGCTGGGAACCTGGAAGGGGCCGTGAGTACAGAAGCCGGGCCTCCAACTCAAAGACTTGCTCACAGGACCCCCTTCTCCCCTAAGACACCAGTGACTGTTCACTGAGAATCAGCCTGTGGCCAGTGAGGATGGTCTCCTCTGGCAGCTGCTTCTGTGGCCAGATTCAGAGGATTTTCCAGACTTTAGCTCCGGCTGGACCCTGGGGTGTCTGATCATGGAACTCTCTGCCTACCCGCTGTCTTCTTCCTGAAATGCTCAGCATCGACTTCTTCCTTCTAATCAACAAAAACAAAACAGACTTCCAACTCTTTCTACCTCCCCACACCTTTTCTGCCTGGAACACACCTCTTCTGGAAGCCTCCTCCCCAGGAAGGGACGTAAGCCCCAGCCATCCCAGACTCGCACACGCTCCGTTCTGCCAACGTACCTCTCACTGGTCTCCAACGTGCTCATTCCACCCTTCTGCTCTAAACAAGTCTCTCTCATACTTCCTGAGGTCCAGGCCACCAGCCAGGATGGAACCCCACTCTGAAAGGCCACGAAGTTCTAGGACGAGGATGATACAGTGCCGATTGTCAACAGCAAACAAGAGACTGAGAAAGCACAGGAGAAGGGCAGTCTCACGCAGACCCCGGCCTTCTAGGCAGGCTGGGATCAAGGCCGGGGAAGGAAAAGCCCTCCACCAGTCTAAGCACCAATGTGCCTGCCTTCCGGCTGGGCACCCCCGTGCGCAGGACAAAGCGGGAGGAAAACTAAAATCAGTGGGGCTCTTCATCTCCAAAGCTGTCAGGGTGCTGACCTTGCCCCTCTGATCAGAGCTTGGGAACCACACACAAGCCAGCCTCCAAAAGGGATTAGCCCCTAGGAAGACCCAAGACCCTCTGCCCTGTATCAGGACCGTCTGGGCAGGTCCCAGCTGAGACCAAAGTGCTGCTGGTTCTCACCTGCCCAGCCTGACCCTTCGCAGAAACTCGACCCTTACGGGGCTGCTCACACGGGTGACCTAAAGGTGAGGGTGGGCATCTGCAGGTGGTGCACTAATGCAACCACCCTGGCACTCCCATGTCCAGCAGCAACCTCTCTGCCACATCTTTATTTGGAGCCCGGGATTATGGCTTAGGCTGCTTCTGCTAGATCTGTTAATGCCAGTGTGAAGTTTCCAACTAAACAATAAAATAATTAATAAAATATTAAAAAGACACATTGCACTCTCCAGCCAGAATTGTGTGCATGGATGACACACACTCTTGCTGCCAGAAGCTGCGAGTCCCTTGGGACCTGCCCAATGCCAAGGACTTGTTGACGGAGACAGCCTGCCCGATATTTATCGCTAACCCCATGTTATTTAGTTCAAGTGGGAAGTTACCAGCACGCTCAGACACACATGCGTGCATGCACACACAGACACTCAACACACAGCCCTCAAAAAAGCGAGGGAATCTTAATTCTTTAGTGATGTGGACATTTCTCTTTCCAGAGAGCTTGGCGTGGAAATTTTCAGAGATTAGCTTTGTGGATCGCCTCCTCCAAAGGAAAGTAAGATACCTCCATGGCCCAGACCTACTCTGGGCACAAGATCTTTATCTGTGCAGAAACTCGTACACACAGTCCTGGAGCTGGAGAGGACAAGGAGGCCAAGCACATGCCTGCAGCCCTCAGGGGCAGTTCCGGGGCCCGGGCCAGAGTTCCCCCATCAGCAGAGGAAGAGAAAGACCGCATGGTACCTGTTGGGGGCTCCTGTGTCTTGTGCCTGCTGGGGCAGAGTTTGGGGTGGAGCAGGTCTCTGAGATGAGTGGCCCAGGCTCAGCCCTAGGCCCGCTGCAGATCTGTGGGAGTTGGATCTCTCCAGGGGTATGGGGCATAGGGTACCCACAACCCTCCAGATGGGTTTGGTTACCACCAGGGATCCTGCCTGGAAACTCAACCAAGGTTCCACAGTTTTAGAAAGATTCAAACATACATCCAAGGGTCACAACCCAAACATCAGAAGACTGGGGTGAGAGGGCTGCTGGGAACTTTTAGGACAGGTCTCTCAGAGCAGCTGGCTACTGAACAACAGAAATGAAAACAAGAGCCGATCTCCAGATGGCCGCACTCCACTCGGGGGGGTCACAGTCCCTTCCCTGACTCCCTCTTCTGGGTGGACAAAGGGGCTGCCCTCTGGTGGGGACGCCACCATCTCACCCAGGGAAGGAGGAGAGGGGAAGAGGCTGAAACTGAGCCCCACAGACCCCTCCATCTGTTCCACAGTTCTGATCCCCAGCCACTCTCCGCTCTGCAGACGGGCCATGGGGTCTGCCTCCTCCGCACCCAATCGGCCCTGGCATCCCTCTGGTAATATTGCACTTTTCCTGGCTCTCAGATTGTTTTCATTTTCGATTGAGAATGCAAAGCATTTGGAGAGGGTTGGGGAAGTGAGTAACCTTAAAGAAATAATATATTAGTTAAATACAAAACAGGAAAAGTGGGGGCTGTTTCATCTTTTTTTTTTGCCCCTTGAAAACAAACTACCAAACCAAGGACTAAACTTAAATAGCTCTACACCTAATCTGCAAGTACTAGTAATATGAAGATAATGCTTGGCCAAAATCCCCTTGTCCTTTCTCCTTAGAGGATGAAAGTAGTAACATGCCTTACTGAGGAAAGCGATGGGTACAAATGCCAGTAGAATACGCTGCTCTAACACCTGCAAGTGATTACGATGATTCTATATAATGCCTTCGTCAGGTGGAGAATGAAGAGGAGCCTCTGGGACCAGGCTGGGATGGACAGGCTGGGTACACCTGCTGCCCGGTGCCCTTCCTGCCCCTCCTCACTGTCCTAGTGGGAAGGGGGACCAGGCAACGCCACCAGGCCTGCTGGGACAGAGGGCCACAGTGGGAGAGAGATGCAGATCATTTTTTCCCTTGTCATAAAAGAAAAAGGTCTTTAAACAAAGAAGAACAAAGCACCACATGTTGTATCTTCGGGCATTATATAAACCTCAATAATGACCTCAGAAGGGCTCATTAGGATTAAAGTTGCAGTATACAGCAATACGATGTCATTTCACATTTTCAATCGCAACTAATGGAAAACTAGGTTTGGACACTGCTGAGATTTTGTTCTTTTTTCCTTTGAGTCCGATCTGGTTTTCCTCCAGATGGGTCAGAGCCCAGGCCTTTCTGCTCCACTACTGCCAGCAGCCCGCCCCTCCCCGCCCCCAGTCACAGAGCACCTCAGCAGCTCTTAGGGAAAGGCCCTCTCGCCCTGGGTTGACCGGCATGCACCTTCTTGTTTCAAGTATGAATATTCTTTGGGTTTGCAGGTGTGTGCTGTGCTGAGTGGGGCTGGAGGGGAGGCTGCGGTGCAGAGGCTGAGGCAGGGTGAGCCCTGGCCACTGCCCAGATCGACAGATGTCACCAGGTGGCAGCATTCTCCACTCTCCCTGATGCCTGAGCAGCTCCCAGCCACCTGGGCCGGAGGTCACAATGTAAACACGATGCCCACATGATAAGTGTACCGGGCGGGGAAGGAGCACAGGATTAACCAGTGGGAAGTCTGCTGTGAACTGGCTGTGTGATTTGGGGAAAGTCGTTTCCTGGCCTTGGGCTGAAGGAACAGAGAGAGACAGCATGGAGTGACCTCCCTGGTCCCTGCCAGTCCTGCTTCTGTGACCCTGCCCTTTCAGAGCACTGGGAATCTGGGAGAGAGGGCCCCAGGGGCAGAGAGCCTGAGGCAGTGCAGCTGGAGGGGTGGGAAGGGCGGCCCTGCTGAGATGCTCTGCCTGAGCCCCTGCCTGTCCCCGGCGAGTGACCGGATGGCTCAGTGCAGGCAGCTGTGGAGTGAGACCGTGGGCCCTCCCCTGGAAGACAGCTACGTGGAAGGTCCTTAACCCGACAGTCACTCTACTTTTAAATTTTATTTTAAATAATCATAAATTACTTTTTTTTCTTTTAATAAATATGTGCTGTTTAAAAATGAGAAAAGTATATACTGCATCTTTAAGTAATGCACTTTGCTCTCTGGGCTTCTTTTCATTCCATCTTATTTAAAGTGCATTAATTAAAAAATAATGAACCACTTCTTTATCATTATTGTTCAAATAAGAACAAATAATATCAATATGAAGACACTAAACCACTACCATTAGTACTGCAATCTAGCAGATTAACTCAACATCCTGCTCTATTTAATACTGTCCAGCAGAAAAAAAAATAACTAATTTCAATTTTAAACTTATGAACAAAACCAAAGGAACAAAACCACTTCACCCCAACCCAGGAAAGGGTGTGAGCAGTCTGCCGGCCGGGGTGCCAGGCAGGGCCCCTGGGATCAGGGCTCAGACGCTGCTCGGGAGGGAGGAGCAAGCGGCCCTGCCCAGCTGCTCTGGCAGCTCTGGCCCTGCCACCAGGCCTGCTCTGTCCCAAACAAAGGCACGTGCGGAAATCCAGTCCCATCAGTGGGGAGTCCTGGGGAAGCCACAGCTTTTTTTTGGAGGGTCCCCTCTGAAATGTCAACAGTGGAAAAACAATGTGGCGCTGACAGAGGACAAACGGGACTCCATCCTCTGCTGCTGTCCCCACTGGGGCGCTGCCCCAAGGGAAGACCACGCCAGTGCCTGGCACAGGGCTCCATCTTCTCTGTGCCGCTGTGAGCAGGGTGAAGGGGGAGGTTGGAGGTGTTCCTTCCGATCCCTCTGCCCAGGCTGGGCAGTGGCCGCTTCTCCACAGTTGCTGTGTGAGGCCTGTAGCCCTCCGAGAGGGAGAATGTACACAGAATGGGGCACCTGCGCCTGGCAGCTGCCTCTCTGATGTCTGGCTCTCAGTCCTCCCTCCCGGAAGTTTTTATCCTTCTTGCCCAGGAGGCTGGGCAGGAAGGTTTTTATCGCTGAGTCTGGGGCCTGGGCTTACCCAGACCCTGTCCCTCTTGAGTGCCAAACCCGGCACTGTCCACACAGTGGAAACCAAGCGAAACGACCAGAAAACCAGAACCCAAACAGAACCCTCCCACAGAGTACAACAGAAAGCCGGCCCACTACCGCCATCCCTTGTAAGGCTGGCGGCCTCGGACCAAAAACAACCCGAAAGTAAGGGTGGAACCAAAGGCCTGACATTTAAGCCCCCAAGTGAATGATTCTCTCGGGAAACATGCAAAGGAACCACCAGCTGAGAAATACCAACAGTCTGCCGATTACAGAGCCCAGCCGGAATGCTCCTCCAGTGCCCAGAGGGCAGGCTTCTTCTCAAGCCAGAGCAGGGACATATGGACAGCCCTCTCGGCACTCTGGAGCCCCTTTTTCTTAACTACAAGACACTGACAGTGGTCTGGCCTGGAGACAGCTCCAAGCCCCAGGGCCAGCAGTGTCTTCCTATGCACCCACCACCGAGGCAGTGCCACCCTGGGAAACTTGAACGATTCATAAATAGAGGTCAGGACAATACGAGGGCTACCTCAGAGCAAGATGCCAGCCCCGGAGGAGCCAGGCAGGGCAGCTACAACCACATCTTCTCCAGGTTTGTGGTGAAGGCACGACTGGGGCTTCCTGCATGGCCTGTCCCGAGGGGTGCAGACCGTGGGCAGTGGCACGGGGCACGTGTGGGTCCCAGGCCCAGGTCTCCCCTGCCTTCCCTTTCCCGCTGGACTGGAGAGGGAGGGCTCACCTCCTGCAGGGTTTCCTCCCCGGCCGTCCTTCCCCCTTCGTCCACGTCACTCACTGGTCATCCAGCGGCGTGCAGTGGTGCACAGTGGCTGGAAGGACCCCACGCCCTCTGCTAGTTCTTCTTCTCAAGGTAGTTGGAGGGCACCCAGCCTTTGAAGGGCTTCACCTCATCCAGGATTTGGCAGTACCACCAGCCGTTGGGGTTCTTCTCCAGCACCTCCATGGACACCCCCTCCTGGAAGCCGGCCGTCTCGTCGTCGCCCTCGTAGTCTGCGATGGAGACGTACAGGTCTCTGAGGTTATTGTGGATGAACTGGGACTTCTCGATGGGCTTGGGGCGCACGGGGGACACGGGGACGCAGTTGCGCTGGCTGGGCGGCGGGGGCGAGTCGGGACCG